GCAGGAAGGAGCTGGACGTGCCACAGTTCCACACGGGGACAAAATTCAGTGTGACCAGCCGTGGCACGCTGGCTTGGTATGGAGGAGAAGGTGCTTGGAGTGGAGCTGCAGGAACTGAGGGACAGTCCTGGCTTGCAGGGGAGGGAAGAGTCGGTGGATAGACATCTGCAGGCATGTCCCCCTGTGGGATGTGGGGACTCTGCCTGCTGGGGGACTATGGGGCAGCATTGGATTGGAGGTTGATGGTCATTGTTGGATTCACTTTGGGAGTGGAAGAGAGAAGTAGCTGGTACCAGAGGTGTTGATAAATGGAAGTGACCTGAGAGGCCACACCCGGGAAGGATTTCCCCGAAAGGATTTCCCTGGAAGGTGGTGTGGCTTTTCAGCTGTAGCTGCCCCACCCAGTCTCCCTCCTCTCCAGCCTGTCCATTTATTGCCTGTTAATAAAATGAAGCAGGTGTACCCCTCCCTGTACTGTCCTCCATATCCTCCTCTTTGAGTGGTTCCAGAGTGCTGGGTGTGGAGCAGGCTGCCTGGGCAGGTGATGTCAACTTTCTGTGCTCAGGTTCTTCACCTATAAAATAGTGATAGATGATTAGAGCGTTCTTTTATTTATTTATTTATTTATTTTAAAGAGACAGAGTCTGACTTTGTTGCCCTTGGTAGAGTGCTGTGGCATCACAGCTCACGGCAACCTCTAGCTCTTGGGCTTTAGGTGATTCTCTTGCCTCAGCCTCCTGAGAAGCTGGGACTCCAGACACCCGCTACAACGCCCAGCTCCTTTTTTATTGCAGTTTGGTCGGGGCCAGGTTCCAACCCCCCACCCTTGGTATATAGGGCCAGTGCCCCACTCACTGAGCCACAGGCGCCGCCCGATCAGAACGTCCTTGCCTTCCTGGCTTATGGCGTGGACTGAGTGAGTACTTGCACTAGTAAGCAATCGATGAGTGTCAGCTGTATGAGGATTATGTGGGTTCCCCTCACCCTCCTTCTTCCCTTGCCTTTGCTTTGGTTCTACCTATAGCACCTGCGATTTTGCATTAATACTAACTCCTCTTGTAAGATCAAGAGAACTGACATTTATTGGTTACCTGCTTTGTGCCAGCCACTGTCGTTAATCTAACAGGACCTCTTTTGTGGGGTTGTCAAAGGAATTCTGGCCAGGCACGGTGCCTCATGCCTGTAACCCCAGCACTTTGGGAGGCCAAGGTAGGAGGATTGCTTGAGTCCAGGAATGTGAGACCAGCCTGGGCAACATAGTGTCTCTACAAATATTATCTAAAAAGCAACTGGGCTCACACCTGTAATCCTAGCTACTTGGGAGGTGAGGCAGGAGGGTTGCTTAAGCCCTCAAGTTGGGTGTTATAGTGAGCTATAATTGGGCCCCTGCACACCAGCCTAGGCAACAGGGTCAGATGTTTTTATCTACACTCAATAGCCTAGATACAGTCTCCGGAAAGTCTTGGGCTGCTTTTTATCCTCATTTTGGGATTTAGATTCAGAAAAGTTTAATAACCCTCCTGGCCCCATTCAACTAAGAGATGTCCATGCCAGGCATTGAGCCCAGCTCTGTCTGAATCTCTTACCTGTTTCTTTTCTTTCCACCACACCAGACTGTGCCATGCTATCTGCAAGGCCCCCTGCTATACATTTATTCTCTGTTCCTTTTGCTCCCTCTTTTCAATGAAGAAAAAATTGCATTATCCACATATATCTAGAACTCAACTATTAGGTTAGGCCATGCGAAAATGTTACTATTTGAACATTTCTAGCCTGTAAAAATGGCACTCAGATGCTTCAGACTGATCCTTCTCTCTACCTGCACAGCTTCTGCCCTGGTCCATACCCCCATTTTTGCTGGCTGGGATTATAAGCAGTAGCCTCCTGATTGATTTCCCTATATCTGTCCCGGCCACCCTCTTCTTTATCCTCAAAACAGCAGCCAGAGTGATCAGTCCAGAGGCAGGTCAGATCAGGCCACCCTTCCCAGCATATCTGTGGCTTCCTCCTGCACCTAGCGGAGAGGACGTTCAAAATTGCTTTTTCTTCAACAAAGAGTAGTTTAGAAAGTGCAACAATTCATAATTCTTTATTATTATTATTATTATCATCATCATCTATAGTTTTTGGCCGGAGCTGGGTTTGAACCTGCCACCTCTGGTGTAGAGTTCGGCACCCTACTCCTTTGAGCCACAGGCGCCACCCCTAATTCATAATTCTTGTGAAGATACTTAACAATGAATGAAGAAAACTAAGGAAAATGTGTGAACTCGGGATTTTGGACCATAGTTTCTTAGACTTCTATAGCTGTTTTCCCAGGTAGCAGTGGTGCGGTCCCTCCTTCCTGCTCACAGTGGAGGTCTGTGCTCTTAGTCTCTGTGTCCCGAACCATTGCTGCTGTGGGTCAGGCAGGCTTTTCTCATTGCCATTTGAAAAACAGGGTGTGCTTTTGCTGTGGTCATGTTGGAGCTGGCCAAAACAGGAGGATTAGGGTCTTACTTCTTGATCTGTAAGAGGTTGTTTTTTTTTTTTTGATATAGAGTCTCACTTTGCCACCCAGGCTGGAATGCCATGGTATAAGCCTAGCTCACAGCAACCGCAAACTGCTGGGCTCAAGCAATCCTGCCTCAGCCTCCTAAGTAGCTGGCACCAAAGGCTCCTGCCATAACACCTGGCTAATTTTTCTGTTTTCAGTAGAGATGAGGTCTCATTCTTGCTCAGGTTGGTCTCCAATTCCTGAGCTAAAAGGATGCTTCTACCTTGGCCTCCCAGAGTGCTAAGATTAAAGGCATGAGCCATCGCACCCAACCATCATCTATAAGATTTATGTCAGAGTTTGGTGTTGAACTCTGGTCCTCTGGCTTCTTAGTTGCTCTTTGCTTTCTGGCTAAGCAACATTTAGCTTCTGGTCAGCCAAGTAATAGCCACACTTGGCTAATTTGTTTGATTTATGTAGAGACAGGATATTGCTATGTTAGCCAGGCTGGTTTTGAACTCTGGGGCTCAAGCAATCCACCTGCCTTGGCCTCCCAAACTGCTGAGATTATAGATGTGAGCCACCATGCTTGGCCCATAGTCCTTAAAATCCACTTTTATCCCCTGCAGTTACTTTTCTGTGGTCAGTGAAGCACTGTCTGCTTGGTTCTTCTCTGTCCTTTAAAGAACTGTCCCCAACCTTTTTGCCACCAAGGACAGGTCTCCTGGAAGATAATTTTTCCACAGACCAAGGATGTGAAGGGGACCATGTCCTAGGGTTGCTAGGATAACTAGTACTTTATGTAAAGCACAATTTACAGTGCTTTATAAAGCTCTCAAGAGATTGTATAAAGGAGGCTGCCCTTTTGGAGATTATCTAAATATGTGGCACTCAGGAAAAACCATCCTTTGCCTGTTTTGATAATATGTGGCACCTGTGAGCCTAACATGTAGGAATATGTTTGACTCAGTGGATATGGGGGGAACTCCACGTGTTCAGATGGGGTGTTCTGTTGCTTTAGTGCCACAAAACCTTGCTCTTCTAGAAATAAGAATATTTCTAAGATTGTGATTTCTGAATAATGACATAGTAACCCTGACTGTGTAGTCATTGTAACCTCCATGGTAAGGATTTTCAAATTAGTTTTTTTTTTTTTTTTTTTTTTGAGACAGAGCCACAAGCTGTCCCCCTGGGTAGAGTGCCATAGCATCACAGCTCACAGCAACCTCCAACTCCTGGGCTCAAGCGAGTCTCCGGCCTCCGCCTCCCAAGTAGGTGGGAACACAGGCGCCTGCCACAACGCCCGGCTATTTTTCAGTTGCAGCCGTCATTGTTGTTTGGCAGGTCCGGGCTGGGGATTCGAACCCACCACCTTAGGTGTACGTGGCTGGCGCCTTAGCCACTTGAGCCACAGGTGCCATGCCTCAAATTAGTTTTAATTTATAAAACTTATATGTGCCTTAGCACAAAAGTGTGACTATAATTAATGTACACTTAAAAATGGTCAAAATGGTAGATTATAGGTTATGTACATTTTACCAGAGTTGTTTTTAAAAATATTTGCAAAAAATGATTGTCATCGGGCGGTGCCTGTGGCTCAGTGAGTAGGGTGCCAGCCCCATATATTGAGGGTGGCGGGTTCAAACCCAGCCCTGGCCAAACTGCAACAAAAAAATAGCTGGGCATTGTGACAGGCGCCTATAGTCCCAGCTACTCGGGAGGCTGAGGCAAGAGAATCGCCTAAGCCCAGGAGTTGGAGGTTGCTGTGAACTATGACACCATGGCGCTCGACCAAGGGCAATTAAAGTGAGACTCTGTCTCTAAAAAAAAGATTGTCATCCCACTACTTAGACAACTTTCAACATTTGTTTCAATATTATATTTGTGTGCAGTCCTCTGTGCATATATTTGCACAGTTGAGGTGTTGTATTACCATGGTACTGTGTTAACTAGCTGTCACTAACAGGCATTCAGCAGAGGAGGGAAATAGGTAGAAGATGGGCTGTGGAGCTCAGGTTCAAAGTCTGTTTCCCCAGTTCTTGATGTGTAACGCAGGTGAGCTAATTAACAATCTTTTGGGGCCTTGGTTTTCTCATCGAAATCGTTGGTTCTCATCGGAGGCAGTTTTGCTCAGGGGACACTTGCAGTGTCTAGAGACATTTTTTAAATCATCCTACAAGAGATAGGACAGCCCCCTGACAGAATTCCCAAATGTCCATAGTGCTAAAGCTGAAAAAACTTGCTCTAAGTTGAAGATAATAATGGTAGATACTTCATAGGATTGTTGAAAGGAATAAATGAGTTAAAACATTTACTTAGCATAATGCCTAGCACATAGACACTGCCATGGAGGTATTAGCTGTTATTATTGCTGTTACAGTTTTTTCTTTCACTTCATATCAGCATCTTTGGATTTAAACATCTCATAAACATTTTTTGAGTGGTTTCTAAATATCTTTTAGTAAAAGTTTCTTTTACATAAATGTTGCATGCTCCTAATATGCTTTTCCTTCTTCTCCACCAGATGAAATTAAAGCAGAAATAGAGAAGCAGAGGTAAGCTGTGGCACTTGCTCTTTGGGGGATACAGCGTGAAGGGATTGGGTAGTGGCCGTGGAAACCGCCTTTCCTGCATGTGTTCTCATAGTTCTAATCTTCATGCTGGGCACGTAACAGAATTCTGTGTGTGTTTGAACCAATGCTATGTTAACTAATAGGTTCCTGCCTCAGTACCTGCCTACTTGGAGGAAAGGGTTGGAGTTAATGTCTTCATACCTTTTCTGCGAAGCAGCAAAGTCTGTTGTGTGGTATGCTTCCTTAGGCATGAGGACAGCTTGCTCCATTGGTGATCTTTATAGCAGTGAAGCCAGTTAGTCACATTTCAGAGATACAGCTCTGGCCTGACTACCTCCAGGATTCAATCCAGGATGCTGTTCATCACAGTAATCGGAGGCCTTGGTGTCTGCATTTATCACTTCAGCCGTTCTTTCTAATGTGTGTGTTCAACTTTTAATGTCCAGTAGCTTCTAGATCAGCGGTTCTCAACCTGTGGATCATGACCCCTTTGTAACAATGAAAATACATCCTGCATATCAGATTCATACATTACGATTCATAAAAGTACCAAAATTACAGTTATGAAGTAGCAACGAAAATAATTTTATGGTTGGGGGTCACTGCAACATGAGGAACTGTATTTTTTTTTTTTTTTTTTTTTTTGAGACGGAGCCTCAAGCTATTATCCCTCTGGGTAGAGTGCCATGGCATCACACTCACAGCAACCTCCAACTCCTGGGCTCA